AATTGAGAACATTTGCTAGTAGAGTTTTTTGGCTTAAACCTAGAACTAATGTAACCCTTGTGATGAGATTGGATCTTTATTTGATTTGACAACTACAGCGGGACAGTCAGGGTACGTGGTGGTGGGAGTGAGACCCTCTTCTCAGGCCATATGTATGTTGTGCCATTTAATGACCACCCCTTCCTTTCAGCCTGTGTACAAAATCTGATTGTTTCATCTTTTTTTTGAGACAGAGTCTTACTCTCTTGCCAGGGTGGAGTGCAGGGGTGTGATCTCGGCTCACTACAACCTCCAACTCCCTGGATCAAGCGATTCTTCTGCCCCAGCCTCCCAAGTAGCTGTGACTATAGGCGTGAGCCACCACACCCAGCTAATTTTTGTATTTTTAGTAGAGACGGGGTTTTACCATGTTGGCCAGGATGGTCTGGATCTCCTGACCGCATGTCATCCACCTGCCTTGGCCTCCCAAAGTGTTGGGATTACAGGCGTAGCCACTGCACCCGGCCGATTGTTGCATCTTATGCCTCATACCGAAAGTTTAAAGGCCTCATGTTCCTGGACTCAGAGTGGAACAAGGAACCCACAGACCGTTCCAGAAATGCTTAACATAAGCAGAAGAAAATGTAGACGTATAGCCATTTTGTTACAGAGCACAATTTTGCACAGATGAGCCTCTGCCTCTCCGAGCATCCGAGTCTTGGGGCCTCACAGGCTTGCCGTCTCTCCATCTCCCTTGCATGCCCATCTCCTGGCCGTGGACCAAGGGCCCACAAGCCTTCCTCAGTTTCAGGGAATCAACCATCAAGTGGCTAGTTCCTTGCCCCAACAGCACTCTAGGGAATCAGTACCGTGTCTTCCACTCGAGCCGAAACAGTGGACCTGCCCCTGATTGAACACCTTGTACTGCCAGGCTCTCAGCCAGTATTGCCTGTTTCATCAGCCATTAGGCATACTCTGGATGTTCCTTACGACATAGTCAGCACTGTAGTATAGTCAGCACTGTAGTACTAAAAGGGATGGTTCCGAGCAAAAAATAAGCAAACAGATCTCCCCCTGCTGCCTCCACCCCCACACCCACTGGCACTGTCCTAGCATGCCTTACATCAGAGGCTGGCACTGTCTTCGCTATATCTCTGTACAGCTGGCTCGGGACTAGGCACAAGTAGCCCCTCAATACATATTTCAGGAGTGAATAAGTGTTTCTTATTCCACCTTTAGTTCTATCGTTCAGAGACCAGGAATTCCATTCTGGATCACTAACTTAGGGTTACTTTCTAGTATCTTTCTTATGGACTGGAATTTAACCTCCACATTTCTTATGTGTCACTGATGCATCGCTTACCAGGCCATGTTAAAAGCACAGGTAGTCTTTGGAGGCCACTGATTCTAGGTGATCTTGCCAGACATTTTTTTTTTTTTCTTGTTTTCTCTTTGCTAAATAAAAAACAGCTGAATTTCTCTTGTTGATTTTAAAGAAATTTGATAAAAAGATCCCCTCAATCTGGTGCCAAGATCTTGTATACTACATAGCAGGAAAGATGTTTTTAGTTGATTGACTTTGCACCCCATGTACATCTTGAGAAGAATAGTCGTGGCTGACGATACTGTTGAAAAGCAGGCCTTTCATTTTATATATGCTCCGCTTATAGCTGGAAAACTCATAAAGAAGGTTTCTGTGTGTTTATATGAGTGTCAGTTGGTGTTTGTGTGAGGGTGTGAGTATGTCTGAGTGTGTGTGAGAGAGAGGGAGCTTGTTATAAAGACATAACAACAGCTGAGTCAGGGAGTAGCCACAAGCCAAGAGGGCAAGCTGGCCTGCTAGTGCTTTGCGTGTGAAAGCAAAGGTTAACTTTCTTCATCCTGCAGATGCCTGCAGTCCCAAATATGTAATTTCCATCACTATTTTCATCAGTGCTATATAGTATACATTGAGTAAAGTGGATCTAAATTGTCAACGTGGACGGCTTGTTATTTGAAGCTGCATAAATTAACAAAATCAGTGTCCTGGCTTTGTTTTGTTGTATTGGTATTCAGTAAACGAAACCTAATTTTCACAAAATGTAAATAACTGCAATTCTTGTTTTGTTTTGTTTTGTTTTGAGAGACAGGGTCTTGGCCAGGTGCCTTGGCTCACGCCTGTAATCCCAGCACTTTGGGAGGCCAAGGCAGGTGGATCACATGAGGTCTCACAGGAGGTTGAGACCAGCCTGGCCAACATGGCAAAACCCCATCTCTTCTAAAAATACAAAAAATTAACCAGGCAGGTGGCAGGCATGTGTAATCCCAGCTACTTGGGAGGCTGAGGCAGGAGAATCGCTTGATCCCAGGAGGCGAAGGTTGTAGTGAGCCGAGATCGCGCCACTGCACTCCAGCCTGGGTGACAGAGCAAGACTCTGTCTCAAAAAAAAAA